TAGGAGGTGGCAGAGCCTGACTTGAACCCTGGTCGTCTCTTACTCCAGCCCTTGCTCCCACCCATTATGTGCTGCGTGTTACGTGAGGCGTTGTGAAAATTGCTAGGTGAGAGTCCTCCCAGCGTGCACCTGGGGAAATGCTGTCTGAATTGTGGTAGAACCTGTTGAGCCTACATTGGCCTCACTAATCACATAAGCACAGAAATAGATCATGGGAACCATCCTTAGTGGGGAGGGGTCGTCGACGTCCTGGGGAGGAGGTGAAATGCTGTTCTTTGCCTCCTTCCAGAATCCCTCCAGACCGGCAAAGGGACAAGAGCCTTTCCCCCCTCTCCAGAGGGGCAGAGTGAGGCCATTAAACATTTCAGGAAGCTGCTGACTCCCCAGCCTGTTCCTGAGGGTACTGGTGCTGGCAGAGGGGGCTGCCCTCCAGGGTAGGCCGCAGCCTGTGGCTCTCCAGAGGGGCCGTTATTTAGGTCTGGGGGTGCTGAGCACCTGGGGCGCCCGCACGGGAGCCGGGCTGCACAGGCTGGTGTAGGCGCTGCACAGGCTGGTGTGTAGACGCTGCACAGGCTGGTGTGTAGACGCTGCACAGGCTGCCCGAGCTGGGAGTCGGGACGCTTGGTCTTGAGTTCCTGCTCCTCAGCTGGTGGGATTTCCTGCACAGGAGCCCAAGCGTCTTGGTTTCCTCATCTGTGTCACAAAGGGATTGAAACAGACGATCTCAAAAGCCCCTTTCGCCCTCTCTCCTCTCTCGGTAGGGTAGCCCCTCAGATCCAGGGCTTCTCAGCAAAGGCTCATTTTGGTCCCGTGTCGACATTCCAAACAGCTTAGCGCACACCTCCCTCAGAGTCTACATTCACGGGGTCTCCTCTTCTTCCCCGACTTCTGTGGCTGGTACTTCCTGGGGGTAGGGTCTCTTTAGAGCCAACGGTTAAGCTTTTTAGGTCTGCTGGGCAGGTCCATACACTGTGCTGCCCTGCGGCCCCCAGGGCTTCTCCAGGGAAACGAAAGGCACCATTTCCCTGCTGTCAGTGTTTGGGCCACGGGGATTCTGGAGTTGGTGACGTCCCCAGGAGAGGGCTCGGAGCTGGAGCATGGCCGGCGGTGTGTCCAGAGCAGGAGGAAGGCGTGGCCTGGACACTCCCTTTGTAGTCTAAGGCCGTGCCGGCAGTTGTCCCGAAGATGGCCCCTAAGTACCTGCCTTATCTCCCCCCAAGGATCTAGGCTATCCCTGGTTGTGCTGCCCAAAGAATCTGCTGTGGGAGCCCCCACTGGACTAAAGGGGTTCATGGAGAGCAGGAGGCCCAGCTAGATGGGAAGAAAGTGTCGCTAAGGTCTCGCCATTGCCCAGTTGTGCCCAGGAGCTGGGCAGGGAGGTTCCTTCTGAGCCCGAGCCTGGTATATGTGGGGTCATTGTGATGGCTAGAAGCTACCTGGGCTGGGTTTCTCCACAGGGGTAGTGTTGGTCAAACCCGCAGAAGGCCAGAGGACAGGATGGTGCTAACTGCTTGCTCCCAAGGCCACCATTCCCAGGAGAAGGGGTCAGAGTCCCCAGGAAGGAGAGAGTCTGGAGCAGGTAGACAGTGCTCCCCCCCGTAGGAGATAGCTGTGTAGGCTGTCTGGCTTACTTTCTATTCCCTACAGCTCTCTGTCAGAAGGAAGTAGCGGGGTGAAGGGAGGACCCAGGGCCTTGCCCTTCCACGGGACCCCACACTTGGCCTCCCAGTGGTCTCCTTGCTGGCAAATTCCCAACTGTCCTCTTAAGGAACAGTGTCCTTCGGCCCACTCTCTTCCCTTCCCAGAGGTCCGCGCACCTTCCTTGGTCCACCAGGAGGCGATCAAGAGCCTCTTCTCATGACACACCCATTTCTCTTCCAGGCACTTGGTTCTGAGGGCAGCCACTGCACCTACTCTGCTCATGCCAGTCTGGCAGAGGGCACAGATCCTTGAGGGGGTGCAAGGCCAATTAGGCCCCAGGTCTTGTGCCCAGCAGACTACATGCAGGGGCTCAGTGCCTACCCCCCCTACCCTTTCTCTGATTCCAGCTGCTCAGCTGCAGCCCCTTCCATCTTGGATGGAGCCAAGTAACTACCTGGCAGCCCCCTGGGGTGCTGTATCCTGTCCAGGCTCCACAGGGCCTGCAGATTAATAGTCTCCAGTCGCCCGTGCTTCCTGCTTGCGTGGGAACAATGCTGTGTGCCGGAGCCCGCTGGCTGCCCCACCACCTGCATACCAATGGGGCTGCAGCTCCGACTGCAGCCCAGGGCCTGGCATTTTGGTGGCAGCAGTGATGGTGGCTGTGAGGGAGCCCTTGTGGGAGATTCCCCTCACCTGAGCCCATGCCCTCTCTTGCAGGGCTCCTGCAAGGGAAGCCAGTACTGCCAGGAGCCAGGAGAACTTGGACCCCTGCCCTTCTCTGGGCAGGTGGCTGGCATTGGCTCCTGCAGCCCCGACACTGCTGGGAGCAGCAGGTTGAAGCTTGTCCACCTTTGGCTGGAGTGTCCCAGGCCCAGCCAGGCTTACCTAGGAACAGATAGCTCCCCAGCCATCTTGGACCTTTATTTTAAAGTTTCATTTTAAAAAAAGTTTTTACTGATTTTAGAGAGGGAGGATGGGAGGAGAGAGAGAACTATAGATCTACTGCCTCCTGCATGCCCCCACAGGGGATCGAGCTGGTAACCCGGCATGTGGCCAACCAAGAAGGGAACCAGCGACCTTTCGGTGCATGAAACGACACTCAACCAACTGAGCCACACTGGCCAGGGCAGCTCGGGGCCTTGCTGGGTGTTTCCAGTGCTGAGGAGACCTGAGGCTGGCTGCTGGCTGCTGGCTGCTGGCTGCTGCCACCCTGTTTGCACCCTGGATGGTGCCGGCCACCTCCAGAAATGTCCTGGTGCTGGGACAGAACATGGATTAGGAGGAAAAGTATTGAGTGTGTGTGTGTGTGTGTGTGTGGCCCCACCCTCTTGGCCACATCTGGCCACTCCTACAGATGTGGCTCTGGCCTCCTGACCGCAGAGTCGTCAGTGTGGCTGGCGGGCAAACCACAGAGGAATGTGCCTCGCAGAGCTTGGGGGAGAAGGGACGATGGGGACTGAGAGACATTCTGCTCAGGCTTCCCCTCCCCTCCCCCAGTGGGTCCCAGAGGCCATATTCTGGCATGAGGGTCGTCAACCGGCCTAGCCCCTGCCTTGGTGACATTCTTTCAGATCGAGGCCCATAGACTGACTGCACAGGGTGTGGGAGCCTCTCTTAGCTCAGCCCCTCACCCCCCGCCCTCATACTCCTGATGAGGAGTTGGGGGGAACCTGGGCAGAAGCCTGTTCACGAGGGCAGGAAACACTGGCAGCCGCACGGATATTGGGGTCCTTTCTTCTCCAGGCCTGGGCAGGAGTGGGCCCTTGGCATCAACTCCCTGTGGCCTCCCCGGGCTGGAGTGAGGAAAGTGAGGGCTTTCTTTGGAGAAAGAAATGAAAAGGAAACAAGATGGGTTGGCCTTGCCTCTCTCACTTCCTCCTTCCCAGGCAGTGGGTAGCCGGCCTTCCCTTCGCTGGCGTCAGGAGGCTCTGTGGGGTGTGGACTGGGTTGGGGCTCCTTGCTGGTGCGGTGTTGGCCCTGGCAACCACAGGGCAGTGATGGGAAGTGACATTCGGTGACCAGAGGACAGTGTGTGTCTAGGGATCAAGAGGTTGAGACTTAGCCTTCCCATTGGAACCTTCTGCCACTCCCTGGGCCCATCAGCCCATTGTCCATATGGGGGCCTGGACCCAAGGTCTTGGGACCCAGCAGGCCCTGGACTCCTTTTCCCTTCCCAGCAGGTTGTCCCTGGGACTGGAGTTATGAGCT